AACGCCCTCCAGTGGTGGAAACACCACAGTACACTCAGTGTTGGCTGACTGTAGTGTAAGTGAAGCAGCAATATGATTTTGCATCTTTTGCAGCTTATCAATGTATCAATATGATTGTAAAAGAGCTGTAACTGTATGCTGATCACACTGCTTGGTCTCTCATTTAATTACTTGTTATAGACAACTGAAGCTATGTAAAGCATTCAAACTTAAAACATAAACTCTATGAACTCCATTGATTATGAATTATATTGTAAACATCATGTATATGATTGTACTCATATCTCCATGTATAAATAACACAGAATGTCTGATTACAATAATAAGCATTTGTGTCTATTACATTTTAAGAGGCAATAATATAAAGAAAATCAGGCAAAATGCTAACATTGTTTTCATATCTATATACATATAGACTGTAAACAATATCTAATTTATCATGATTCAACAGTCAGATCCATCTGATCTCTGTATCTGACCGTCAGTGTGAACAGTTGACACTGTGACGACCCACTCCACCTTGTCTTCCTGTTCCTGGTTGTGTGGCCTGTCAGACACACCTGAGGCCTGTGTGCCATGCGCCTTTAAAAACCCTGTGGGAGCTCAGTGCTCCCTCTCTCCTCCCTGAGACAACTATTTGCTTTTTGGGTTTGATGGTTTGATTGTGTTGCTGCATCTTACTGTATTACAACACAGCACTCATACACTTCTCCACTCATGCACTCACTTACACTACTGACTCTACTGATTTCACATACTACTGTTAGTTTAGTTGAAGTATAATTTCTAATAAATAATTTGTTAATTGGCTTTGTTGTGTGCGTCTCCCTCCTCTTGTCACGGCCGTATGGCCCGGTTTGTGACAACACACTTTTTATTTGTCAGATATTCACAGGAAAACAACATCAAATGAGATCTCATTGTCACCGGGACGAAAGCATCAGAAGATTGTTTTCTTTTCTCTCGTTACCGGTGCATTGTTGTATCTGCTAACTATACTAGCAGCTTCCATTAGCTAGTTAGCGTTCCTATTAGCTGCCTGTACCTGGACTGCAAGCTCAAAGTACCCGAGGAGGTTTGTTTAAACCACTAGCACAGGAGGTTTAGACTGCTAGAGGATGAGGCAACGGAGCTAGGCTCGGCAGCCTCTCAGTGACCCAGGCCGGAACCAAACACAGCCTCCAACACCATCAGAGGACAGGTGAAGTAACGTTGCACATCCTCCATCGTATCGATTAGTCTGCCAGTATTTGTGTAAGTGAAGTAGAAGTTATTTATTCCATGTTTTGAACAACCAAACTGTGTGATTCAAATATATATGGTCAACTATTAGCTTTATCTAACGGCTATTAGTTATAATTCTAAGTTAGTTATGTTGCATGGAGCCTGCTGCCAATATGTTAGCCAGGTAGCCAGCTAGCTAAGATTGGTTCATGTGATAGCAGAATATGATGTAAAGGTGCTATACCACACCAAGCAAGAACTTTGGCTTTCTCTCACTTATTGTCAGCAACCCCCCCAGAGCCCCTACCTCCAAAGCAAGCATTATCAGGCTGGTTTGTCACCATAACCACTGGTCACCATTCGTTCATGATTGCCCCATTTGTTTATCCTCCATTTCCTAACTTTCACATTTGCCCCGTCAGTATTGCAACCAGGAAATATTCAGACAATAAACGTCTTATCATCAATCTTTCAGATTGAATCTGAGTTAAGACTTTTCCCTTTGCTAATCATGCCATCAGCCTCAGAAACCTCGCCAGGAAAGGTTTGTGTTTCCATTGTCCATCTTTTGGATGATTTCCTCATCATTTCCCCCCCCCGTCACCATCTGCTCCAGGTGTGGTCATTCTGATTTCTTTATTCTGACCTCTGGGTTCCACTGTCAGCTTGAAGAGTTTCCCCTACTTTCATGACCAGTGCAACGTAACCTTCCAAACGTTTGTTCTCGTCATCATGATCTGTTGCATTACCTATCAAACCCATGGCATCAAAATGGCCTCTGACCATCCGCTGAAGTCTTTGCCATCTACTTTTTACCACAGACTTTCTGCATAAAGGATCCCTCATGTTGCTCAAACTTTAGAAGCGAAGTTCTTGCTTACTTTTTTGGTTTCTTCGGATGTTTTGAACTTACCGCCTGTAGCCTTCACTTTGACCCATACTGTCATACCTGCCTTTAAGACTTGTCTTATCTCTCAGTCGACATCTTAGGATTCTACTAAAGCTAACTAAAACTAATCAATCTGGTTAGTTTACAACTGTGTCTTACTTTAAAGTCCAATCATCACTGAATCTTTTCGAGACAAACTACTTGTTTTTCCAGAGCATAACCATAACAGATCCTCTCTTCATCTCTGAGTCTGGACAAGTGGCTTCTTGATTCTGGTTTTGCCACCTACTCTCCTTGTCCAGCATTCCTTCCGTCAATTACTTCGGTCACTCCTTTAGGATCAGGACTGCCACCTCTGCCCAGGGGTGGACTAGGACAAAAATTCAGCCCTGGCATTTTGTGTCCAGACCAGCCCACTACATTATCAGCAGACACTACATAGAAGTCCACAAATCTCGCAGCATCTCCTCTCATGCATACTACAAAGGAGAGTCATATTCCTTGATAGCAGTTAACAAATAAAGCACGTAACTATGAACTCAAGGACTAAAACTGACAGCTATAGCAATCAATCAATCAGTCTTTATTCATTATAGTGTCAAATCACAACAGAAGTTATATCATGACTAGGGGTGGGACGAGACTAACGGGAAGAACCCTCATGCTACCCTTTCAGTTTTTAGTCTGTGACTGTGAAAATCTTTTGGTGTAAGCCCAGCATTAGTTAAAAGCAGACTGGGACAATAATAACAAAATCTCCTGACAAATAATCTAAATAGAAACATATTACAGACAGTAGCAGCATTAGAGCTGAAACTCATTGGTGTACTGACAAGTATATGTAGCCATGTAGCCTTTCTGTGATGTAGTGACACTTAGTGAACAAATGTATCTGTCATGAAGGATGACTGAAGTCTCAGAAGAGCCCTAAGGCCTACCTGCATAACTGTTAACTGAACTTAAAAGATATGCAGATGTTTGAAATTAAAATCATCAATATGAAAATCTTCAACCAGGAAATAATCATAATCAAACCTTTTGTTTCAATCTGAGACAAAACAAGTTGCATAATAAACTCCCAAAGTCAAGACGAAGCTCTCTCTCTCTCTCTCTCTCTCTCTCTGATGGTAGCAGAGAATATAAAGAGACATTTATGAATTACCAATTGTCATTTTATCACACATATAGTATGTTTCTTCACATAAACCTTTCAACATACACATGTTGCGTTCACGAGCGTAACAACACTAAAGGCTTTGTCATGTTTTCATTATGATCTTTGTGACAAAACCTGAAAATGCTCAAGACAGCACTATACACAGCCATTTGAAAACTACAGTAAAAGTAACATTTACACAGAAATTAAAGTTACACACAAATTATACCTACGAAATAGTTATGACCTCAGTAGACAATAACTGAATTGAAAGATAAAGATAAATTCAATGGCAAATATTGCAAATTAAACTCATTATTTCCTAATTAATTCAAAGTATCTCATCTGTATTTACAATATTGATTCTGCATCTCTATTTCCAGTCATCAGTCCATGTCAATGGTTACTGTTGCTATGGCAACAAGCAGCTGTTGGCTAACTTCGAACAATAATAACCCATAATATCCCAATTCGGCATATTTAAACCAAATCAAGCACAACTACCAACAGTCCCAGCCCTTCCACTCTGGGCTAATATGTTGTCACAAGTATGCAGTTAATGAGGTCCCATCACATTCAATGGAAAAACCAGGCTAACGTTACTCACCATGTCTGCCTCCACTCGCTCGTCTCCCGGCGCAGCAGCACCTGCTGGGGTGGTGACCCCGGCACCAAATAGGTCTGTCAATGTCCAACATTTAGCAGCTTCCACCTCCAGAGACTTCAGCTTTTTAAGTTTCTTACGGTTATCCATCTTCAGCTCAGCAGCAGCCCTTCCCGCCACTCCGGCCCATGCCATGAGGTCCCGCCCACCCTGGTTTGTGTTGTGATTGACAGCACTGATTGATTGACAATGACAAACATAGACCAATAATATGTGTCGATGCTGGCAACACACTGCTAGCCCTCTGTAGCCAACTGGCCCAACTGGAGGGAATTTAGAGAGAGAAAGAAAACATACCGGACCGGACCGGACCACATTGGGTCAACGGCCCACATTGGGGGACGATGCCCAGTATGCCAGATGGCCAGTCCACCCCTGCCTCTGCCTCCTATAGACTGGACTGGTGTGAGGAAGGCTTGGGTCCATTGAACTAACTACACCATATTTTACGGGTCATTCAATAATGAACAGTCTGCGTCCTCAGGCTCAAAGAGATAAATAGATGCTATTAGATGGTTGTTCATGTATTCAGGTGTAGTGAATGCATCATGTTCTCTCATCCTGATGTGTAGTTTGATAGCGTGCAGACACACACTGAGTTTCAGCCTCTTTCTGACCACAGCTCAGTGGTTAAAACTGAGAGAAGCTGTCAGGCACACAGCTACAAAATCAGCTCCTGTTCACTTCCTCCAACTGAACTGTTGTTTACCTGCACAGAGATCCAGCTTTTACTCTGAAATTCATCATGAAGTCATTTTATAGTGAATCTCTGACAACTGCTAATAAACAGCTGGAATCTTAATCTCTAAAAAGCAGTTTAACTGTCAGTGAACGCATCATATTCCTGTTCTTATTTACATTCTGTGTCAGGTGTTGCTTTACTTTTCATCTCAGAGTTTCATTTTGTTTTCTGACTCTTTTCACTTTGTGTTATGGTTCAAGCATTGTTTCAAAAGTGAATTTATCTGCTTTATTCTAACTAAATGACTCAACTTTATCACCTTCAGTATGAGAGGAAACCACAACACTGCCAGTCACAGGAAGGAGGAGGGTTTTACTTGATGTGACTGTGAACTGATCAAAGTATAGATCTCATATAACAAGTGTTAGGATGGAGGGAACATCTCTACTGTGGCTGCTCTGTAAGTACACTAAAAACATCAGCTTAGAGAAATACAACCAGGAGAAATCCATCATGTCTCTGTCTCAGAAATGCTCCTGTAACATTAACATCAGTTTATCTAAAAGGTTGTGAAAATGCTTTTACATCAGGTTCTTATTATGTTTTTTTTTCCTGCACATTTATTGTTGAATTTTTCTTTGTAAAAAGAAGCATAATCTTCTTACAGTGAATGAAATGTAATCTTATACAACCGTCCTCTTCCTCTCTGTGTTCATTCGTTCCTTCATCAGTGTTTTTAAGAACTTTTATGGCATTTATCAATACTTATAATATATACTTCCTGTTTATTAGGTAACATCAGTGTGCCCAGCCTAGACCACACGTAATGAAATATGTACAAAAGCCAACTTGTGTTTGTGCTGTGAATAATGCAAATTAAAAAAACAACTTAGTTGCTTTTTGTTCTCGGGGATTTTGATGCCCTTGTAGTGGTGTGGTGAATGTGTGGCTTCCTCGCTGTCTGTCTCTCCTCTGTGGTGGCTGAGCGGAGCAGAGAGTTGATGACGGCTGCACTGTGCATGAAAACTTTGCCAGTAAAAACACCAGTGTGACAGCTGACTTAAAGCATCAGATCTGGCTCAATGTAGCTGATACTGAATACTTAAAAAATGATTGGCCCCAGTACTGATCGTGACATAGTAACTACTGTCTGTCTGGAGGGGACTTTCAACATCAAACGCAATCAAAGATAATAAAACATTAACATATGAGGCCCAATATGTGTGTGCTGCTCTCTTGTTGTATCACAACCTCAAACCAACCCGAGTGTCATTTCTCTTTAGTTCTGATCTCACTGCTGAGCTGCACCACAAACCAAGGTTAGTGAACTTCTTCTATCAGTCTGAAACTCATTTTTTTCCAGCAAGATTAGTATTGGTGACAGAGATACACAGCAGTAACTCAGCAAAAGTTTGACATGTTTTTTTGGAAAGCGCTTCTTCCTCGTCACCGCCTGCGAACAAAACCTCCTCGGTTGAGTATCGTTTCTTCGCCATCAAGACAAAACAATGACGAAAAAAAGTACTCCAAAACACACTGACTAAAACTACTACTAAAAACTACTGACTCTAACTATTTCTCTCAGTCTCTCTCTCTCATCAACTATCGACCTGCTTCTCTCCTCTGCTCTTCTCCACTGGCGCCACCACGCGTCGTCATGACTTTTGCAATTAATGTAATGTAACATAGTCCCGTCACAACGAGCGTACAACGTGATGCGGCGAAAGACGTTGCTCTCCAATGAAAAAACAATGAATGCTCTAGCTATTATGGTTTTTGTTTCAGATTGATTTAAACAGGATCATGCAAACAACGATCTCCAGTGGCCAGTTAGGGGCTGCCCGCGGGACGTCCGTTTCAGTAAATCGCAGCTCATCCAGGTTTTTATGTCCTTAAGACATGTTTGTAACTTAGATAATTGATTAATTTCATTGGGCTCGATTGATAGATTAATAACTGGGTATCATCTGCATAACAGTGAAATGTAATGGAGTGATTCCTAATAATGTTGCCTAAAGGGAGCATATATAAAGTAAATAGTATTGGTCCAAGCACAGAACCTTGTGGAACTCCATGACTAACTGTAGTATTTATTGAAGATTCATCGTTAACATGTACAAACTGAGAACAATCTGATAAACATGACCTAAACCAGCTTAGTGTGGTTCCTTTAAAGCCAATTTGATGCTCGAGTCTCTGTAAAATAATATCATGGTCAATGGTGTCAAATGCAGCACTAAGATCTAATAATACAAGTACAGAGACAAGTCCATTGTCTGAAGCAATCAAAAGGTCATTATTAACTTTCACCAGTGCTTTCTCTGTGCTGTGATGTACTGAAATAAAATGTTGTTATGTAGAAAGTCACTGTGTCCTGGACAATGAGTGTTCAGCAACAGAAGCATTTTTAGGACCTTTAAGGGGATGTGTAGTTTGATTGAAAACGTAATGCATCATCAGTATATTTCTTAACCACAACATCCTCTTCCTCCAGCCTCTCTGACTGTGAGTCCCAGCAGCTCTCAGATGTTTAAAGGACAGTCTGTCTCTCTGAGCTGTGAGGAGGACGACAGCTCTGCTGGATGGACACTGAGGAGGAACACAACCAGAGACACCAGGACTCAGTGTGACGACTGGGGAGAACCAGCTGGTTCTTCTTGTACCATCAGCCCCATTGCCACATGGGACAGTGGAGTTTACTGGTGTGAGTCCAGAGAGGGAGCAACCAGTAACACCATCAACATCAGTGTCACTGGTAAGATCAGACTGTGGAGTTAGTGTTGATGAAGCTGTGTGTAAATGGATGAAATGCTGTAGTCTGTCTCTGTGTTGAGGTGGACCAGTGATCCTGCAGAGTCCTGTCCTCCCTGTGATGGAGGGAGATGATGTCTCTCTGCACTGTAAAACAAAGACCCCTCCCTCCAACCTCACAGCTGCTTTCTATAAAGATGGCTCCCTCATCAGGACTGAGCCTACAGGTCACATGACCATCCACCATGTTTCCAGGTCTGATGAAGGCCTCTACAAGTGTCACATTGGCAGTCATGGAGAGTCTCCACCCAGCTGGATCACTGTCACAGGTGAGGAGGTCACCTTTGATTTCAGGACTTATTTCATCCAGATATTCACCTGACCAGGTGGGATTCTCTCTGCAGGTAAACCTACAACCACAGCCCCGCCCACCTCTGCAGCCCCATCCACTGTCTCCACCCCCTCCAGTTTGTGTTCAGATTGCTCTGCCACCTTGTGGTGTTCTGTCCGTACTGCATCTCCACTGTCCTCATGGTGTCTTTATATCGACAGAGGTCCACAGGTAACACTCATCAATCAATCAATCAATCAATCAATCAATCAATCAATCAATCAATCAGTCAATCACTCTGGTGTTGATGACTGACAGCTGTCTCTAACAGAAGTTGATAAATGATCTATATTTTATTTCTAACCTACACTGACTGTAGGAAATAATCTGCCTGTCTCCATGGTGATGATCCCGCCCACCCAGGCTGAGGAGGGATTGGATGGTGACTATGATGATGTCATCGGTGATGTCACCACAGAGCATCACTTCTGAATTGATCCGATGAGTTCAATGTGTTCTTAAATGAAGCTAAAATGTTCAAATAAAAAATGAGCTTTTTTTATTAATCAGAATCAGAAATACTTTATTGATCCCCGGGAGAAATTAATCGACAACAGTGATGTATTGCAGGGCTTTTATTAATTTGTGACACATTAAATCTCGTCTCTCTGTCCACCAGATGATGACTGTCACTCTGCAGTCTAAAGGAGAATGATGAAGTTTGCAGGAGAATCAGCAGCTGGACGACAGAAGAGCTCCATCCTCACTGCTGAGCTCCAGTAAACCTCAGAACTGCATGCAGCAATATTCACATGGGACAGTTTCAGTGCTGTTTCCAGGTTCATGTATCATCCTACAACACAGGGTAGTACAAGGAAATACCAGCTGTAGTCCCTTAAATAAAAGTATTTTACATAATGACTCACTGCCTGAGGGAAGAAGTCTGGAGGTACGGCAGCAAGAGCTTCTGTACCTCTTCCCAGAATGCAGCAGGGTGAACAGGCTGTGGCTGTTAAACATTTTTAATCTGATTACATTAAGTTAATAAAAGACATTCACTCAGTGTAATCAGATTAAAAATGTTTATCACTTTCAGAACTTAAGATGAACTGTTGGTTCACTTTAACCATGAGATGCTATCGCAGTGTACAAGCTAACAGCCACCAGAGGGAGATGATTCTAAAGGGAGGTTCAGGTTATTTCCCCTCATCATGAATAAAGAGTATGAACAGAAACAGGGAATGAAAGCTGCATGGTCCCAATGGATAGAAACAACAAATAAAGATAACACAACTTGAGGATCCAAATGTAACAATAAGTGTTTATTTTTCTATGAAAATACACTTTATACAAAAGTTTCAAAGGATCACAAACATACTGTTGTTGGTAACACTTTATCAAGGTATTGGATTGGTAACAGCTCACAATGGGGAGAAAGGTGGAAGAGCTGTGTAAAACAACTTTAGTAGTAATTTTTCTGGGGAGACACTTTTTTAAATAATAAACATTAAGACCCAGTTCACAGTGAAAACAGAAAATTGGGCATATATGAATGAACCTGTTTCTGCATCACGTCACATTGTCTTGAACAGGTAAAGCGACCATTTTGAAGAGATAAACATGTTTTAAATCACAATGTGATTCGTTAAATACTTTACAAATGAGAGTTGAGGAATGCATTTAACAGTAATACATGTATAAATACTTTATAAATGAAATGAAATAAAGGCACTGATGTTAACAGCTTCTTGTTTTTCTCTTGGTAAACACAATGTGCACTCTCTTTATGTGACAGAATATGTGCATTTAGGAAAGTTGAGGCTCCTGTTTTTACATCACTGGCAAAACAGTGTACATATTGAAATATTTTGAAAATGAGAAGTGCAATTAGCAGGAGGAAGGAGTTCCACCTGCTAACTGAGATCAAATCTGCTGCGACACTGCGTAGTGTGCTGGACCAGAGGACTTCTGGAGTTGATCATTGTGGACTTTGGAAAGGGGCTAAAGAAGCTCTGGAAACAGCAAGGAAACTAAGTATATGTGTTGATAGTGTGTGCGGCTTAGAAAATAATACATTTTTGTTCATTAATCAACCTGTTGTGCTTGATTGTGTGCTGGGGGACCTACGGTTGCAGAGAGGAAAAGCCACTGTAACACTTACAGTACACTGCAATAACATAAGTACAGTACCACCTTCCACCAAATCAGTTAGACACTGAACTGCTAACATCACCACGCATTAAGGGTGCCTAATCGCTGATATTCACTCTAATTAGTTCTAATTAGGCAGAATTTTAGATTTAGATTTCAGTCCAGAGGAAGGTTTGTTCTTTCAGCATTTTGCAGAGCAACAGAGAGAGAGATGTTATCTGGTGGATGTTTAACAGACAGACACACAGTCTGTACATGGAGAGAGAGACAGGGCAGCCGGTGTGTGAGACAGGTACTTGTCTTCATGGCGTTGATCATGAATAATGGATATTAAACAGCTGACCAGGAAGTTTTCATCCAGCAGCAGTCAGTTTGAATGTAATCGAGTCAAAATGATGTGAATCCACTGCAGCCTGTATGAAATTTGTGGTTCGGGAGGCAGACACCATCACCACATTCAAGAGTAGGCTTAAGACATTCCTCTTTGATAAAGCTTATAGTTAGGGCTGGATCAGGTGAGTCCTGAACCATCCCTTAGTTATGCTGCTATAGGCCTAGACTATCGGGGGGATTTCCCATGGTGCACTGAGCTCCTCTCTTCCTCTCTCTTTCTGCACTCATTCATGTCCCATTAATGCATGTTACTAACTTCACTTCTTCCCCGGAGTTCTTGTGCTTTCTCGTCTTGCAGGTTCTCATGGATCCTGGTGGAGCCTCCTGCCATGGTCCTGCTAGATTGCCATTGCCAATACTGTTGTTGCTGTGCACCTGTCAGTCTATCTGTCTGTCTCTCTCTCTCTCTCTCCCACCCACCTAGAGCCGGAGGATCTGTCCTAGGTTTCTGCCTTTTAACAGGCAGTTTTTCCTTGCCCTTGTCTCCAAGGTCTTGCTCATGGTGGTACTGTTGGGTCTCTGTAATTAATGTTTTAAAGAGTTCGGTCTAGACCTGCTCTATTTGAAAAGTGTCCTGAGATAACTTCTGTTATGAATTGGCGCTATACAAATAAAATTGAATTGAATTTAATTTAATTGAAATGTGCAAACAGTCGAACACGGTTGGACACAATAAACTATCATCATCATCATCATCATCATCATCATCATCACGGTTGCTTTCAGCTACCTGCACAGAGCTAGCTCCCAGCTAACATCTTCACCTGTTTGTCTGCAGAGCTAACAGCAGCACTCTGTCAGATACAGGGGTTGATGTTCTCACTCAACATTAGATCAGAGTTAGGAGCCCTGGCTGACGACAATACAGCGACAATACAAACGGGCCACAGTGCCCCACTGGAGCTGATATGCATCTTCAGTCAGATGGACTGGGCCAATGGTGGGTCTCTGGAGAACCGTGGGTGTGGCTCTGCCCCCCTACTCACTCTGCTACAGGTAACCTGAACCATGCAGTCCATGATGATGGAGAGCCTCAAACAGCAGATTTACAAATGGCCCACAGAAAGTGTTCAACATGACTTTGGTATAAAGAGCTCTGTAGAGGTTCAGAGGAGCTGATCACCCACTGCTTCATCAGCAGCTGGTTCTGAGTTACTGTCTGTGTGTCTCTTTTTCTTCCAGAGAACCATTCCAACAACAACAGCTGAACAAATCAGACCGAAAGCTGTCAGTCCAACTGTCAGTCCAATGTGTTTGTTTCCATCCCTGTTGGTTGTGTCTTTGTAGTCTCCATCCATGGTGTTTTTGCTGTTGGAACCTGAAGATGAAAATGCACATTAGTCAGGAAATGACTGAACAGAATCCATTTCTTCTTCTATATCCCTCATGTTTGACTCTGAGAATCACCCTGAACTCCACTAACTCACCTGAGGCTGTGACCTCCAGTTGGATGGTTCTGATTGGGTCAGTGTCAATGATGGCTCTCTTATGACGGCTTGAACCACCTGTAACAACTCGACACTCGTATGTTCCGTTGTCACTGATGCTCACGTTGTTTATAACTAAAGACACGTTTCCATCCTTCATCTCTCCGTCTGCCAGATTCACCCGACCCTTAAAGGATGGATGTTGGTTGGTTGTAACTGAGCGTTTGTTTCTGTAAAAGAGGACATACTCTGGCTCCAGGTCAGGTCTGGTCCACTCTACAGCTCTGATGGAGTCATCACCAGCTGAACATGACAGAGTGACATCATCTCCAGGTTTCACTGATATCACATGTTGTTCTAAAAACCAACAATAAACATCCAGAGAGAAAAAGTTGTTCAGGGAAATCACTTTTAACATTGAGTTGTAATTAATGAATGAGAGCAAAGGTCACTCCCACTCTGCCCCTGTATGCAATAGAAATCAGATTAGAATCCATACAACTATATACAGTGTGCTTGTGGACGTACCAACAGGTGAAGAGAACAGACACAAAAACTCTGCACACTGTGTTTATTCTACAACCAAACTATATACTATAGATTATTTTACACATATTAACTAATAAACTATACATAAATTAAACTAGGCTTTATATATATATATATAAACATGTCTCTGTTGAGTTTTGTGATGGCTGTCTGGAGGAGTCTCTCTCTCTTTAACAGTAGCTTCAGAGTGTTTACCTGAGTTACCTGTATAAAGTGGATTGTGCTCACTGTTTGTGATTTCATTAACTAATAACTCTTTTAGTTCTTGCAGTAGTGTGGTTGTGTCTCTGTCGCTCTCTGTCTCTGAGCAGGAGCCCCGCCCGCAGTGGAGTTGATATTCTCTCAGTCGTTAGCCCTGATAGGCTAACGGGCTGACCAATCAGGAGGGGAGCCTCTCTACAACGCTCAACAGCGGAACTACCAACGAGGCTAACAGTGCTAACAGTGCTAGCAGGCCTCAAACCTGTGGCTGTCACTGTACGCTGTCTGACATCTGAAGTAACGTTAGCAAACATCAGCTGCTCTAACTATCACACATGTACCTCAGACTGAAACATCACAAACCATCATCATCATCTTCATCATCATCTTCATCACAAATCTAGTTTCGGTTTGGCTGTGAGAGCTTGCTATCAAACTAGTAGGTTAGGCATTCAAGTTTTACGAGTAAAAAGGTCGTCAGACCGAGACACACACACACACACACACACACACACACACACACACTCTCTCTACTCACCTTGTGCAGCCAGGAAACAAAAGAAATACAGAAGGATGTAAACGCTGTACGATCGGACTGCCGCCATGATGACTACTGAACTACTCTAGTGAACCCATGATGCACCGCGCATACAGAAACGAACAAACCACGCCCCAACGCTCCAGTGACGTTACTGTCCATTATGTCTGTGGATTAAATGATCTTTCAGACGATGAACCTGGGAAATAGTTTTTATCTGAATTCTCAGCTTTTTCATCAATTTTACAGCTTTCAGATAAAACAGTGATTATTGGAGGTGACTTTAATATTAATGTGGACATCAATAATGACCTTAGTACTGTATTTATCTCATTATTACCCTTAATCTGTCATATGGCACTGAAACTGAACATTTAATGACCTGACCATTATTTAACAAACACCAACAATTGCATTCATTACTACAGAGAAATAAAATCATCATTATATGTAATAAATGTAGATACCTGCTGAATCAGTTTCTTCTCAGAATCCTCAAATAATCCTTTAATTGTCAGGATGAAAAAAACATGTCCACTGTAAAAATCCAGGAAGTCCAGTAGTTTGAAGATTCATCAGATGATAAAACTCTGCACACTATAACACAGACTTTACAGACTTTACCACTGATTGATCTTCTGTTGCTGTGTACAGGTGGATGCTGCCTATTACCTGAGCACTGGGGGAGGGGAGGGAGGGTGTGGTTACATTCAGCTGAGCAGGTATTTTCCAGGAAACAATCTGTATGAAAAGATACAGCAGATGGTTTCTGATAAACAACTGGTGTCCTGTCCTCCTACAGGTGTAGTTACAGGTTACTCTGTGGATTCAACTTTTACAATAAATGATGCACTAATAGATTAAATGAGCCAACAGTCTGAATGAGGACTTTTATTCTGATATTAGAGTAGATTTATAATTTTTACTGAAGTAACGTGGTGAAAGCAGAACTATATGTTGGTGCTATTGTTATTTTAAAGGTCCAGTGTGAAACATTTAGGAAGATCTTCACATGTACTTTAATGTGTCACATCATTAATTTGTTAAACTTTCTTTCATTGTATTCATCGTTCTTTTTGTTCCTCCAGCACAGTGCTGGTGAGGACGTGATCAGACTGCCAACCCCCTGCAGGGGAGGCACAGGGCACAGCGGATCCTGAAATATGAACAGCCGTGGAGACAGTGGTCTCACATGTGTCCCCCCTCTCCTCCTCCTGTGGCAGGTTGGCGTGTGCTGATGTGTCCTGACCACTGGAGTCAGTGGCTCGTTCACATTGTCAGTTTCATGTTGATTGGGATGTATGAAGGAACGGTGCACAGGACCCGGCATACACCTGGTTTTATACATTTGGATTATTCTTTGCATATGTACTTTTCAAGTTTTGTGAGTACGCCTTCTGTCAGTGTGAAAGCTGCACAGTCTTTCATACATGAGGCCCCTGGACTTTATGTCCTTTACATTTTCTAAAAATGTGAAAACAAAAACAAGAAGCACGCCATGAACTGATCGGCAACTATGGCTTTACTATCTTTATCCTTGTTTCCTCCATCCTTGGTTCCCACTGTGACCTTTAGAGCAGTAAACAGGTGTAAGTTATCAGGTCTCTACACACTCAGCTAACCCTTACATTACTAACAGTAATCTAACAATGTTCAAACTGAAAAACCTTGAAATATACAGTCATTCTGAAGTCCTGTGACCCCCCAAACAAATGAGCCATCCATCCATGTGAAGTGAAAGTGAAAGTGAAGTGATCACACTGCATCTGGAGCCTGCCTGGACACTAGTGACATCATACGATCTCTGCACTCTGATTGGCTGCTCTGTGTGAAAGAGGTCAGTCCTCCTCAGACTGTTCAGCTTTAATTAAAGTCAGTTTGGGGTTTCCAATCGAAATAATTAGAGATGGGATTTATGGCTCTTTGAAGGGAGCCGGATCTTGAGGAGCCCTTCCTTTCAAAGAGCCGTTCAAAAGACTGGCTCATATTTACATTTATTTATTTATAAAATGGGTTAGCCTGGGGGTAACCCATTTTATCTGGGAAAGGATCACTGGGAAGAACGAGAGAGTCGGATCTGGATCAGAATCATTAAAACTTATAATATATATTATATTGGTGGGATGTCTAAGTTTGAATTATTTTGAAATATTGATGTGCCACTGTGTCGGACAACTCAGATGACGTCAATCTAAATTTGCATATCAAATTATCACCTGTGTACTCTGCTGCTCCTCCCCTTGTTGTGCATGCTCTCAGTCTCAGTGGAGTAGCAAAGGAGGAGCTTGTGTGCACATGCTGTGTGCGTGACAGCGTTTAAAAAAACTTGATATGCAAATTTCCCCAGACTTCATCTGAGTTGTCAGTACAGCAGCTACAATGAGCCAAAGAAAGCGCAGCAGCACTTGGATGCACTTTTTGGAGGAAAAAAACGACAAAGAAAAGTGTAACATCTGTCAAAATAATATTTCTGGGTCAACAGAAAACTTGCATCACCATTCAAAAACTCAACACCCGACAGTGGTGGAGGAAAGAAGAGGACCAACTAAGATAACATGGGTTACCCCCAGGCTAGCTTCTTAAAAATAAATAAATGTAAAAATGAGCGAGTCTTTTGAACGGCTCTTTGAAAGGAAGGGCTCCTCAAGATCTGGCTCCCTTCAAAGAGCCATAAATCCCCTCTCTAATTCAGACTCTACAAAACAACCCTCCTCCTCCCTCATGGTACACACACTGCATTAGATTAGATTAGACTGTTCAATTCAATTCAATTCAATTCAATTTTATTTGTATAGCGCCAATTCATAACAGAAGTTATCTCAGGACACTTTTCAAATAGAGCAGGTCTAGACCGAACTCTTTAACATTAATTACAGAGACCCAACAGTACCACCATGAGCAAGACCTTGGAGACAAGGGCAAGGAAACACTGCCTGTTAAAAGGCAGAAACCTAGGACAGATCCTTCAGCTCTAGGTGGGTGGTCGTCTGTCTCGACCAGTTGGGGTGAGTGAGAGAGAGAGAGAGAGAGAGAGAGAGAGAGAGAGAGAGAGAGAGAGAGAGAGAGAGAGAGAGAGAGGCAGAGAGAGAGAGAGAGCGAGAGACAGACAGACATACAGGTGCACAGCAACAACACTATTGGCAATGGCCGTCAAGCAGGACCATGGCAGGAGGCTCCACCAGGATCCATGAGAACCTGCGAGACGAGAAAGCACAAGAACTCCGGGGAAGAAGTGAAGTTAGTAACATGCAGTAATGGGACATGAATGAGTGCAGAAAGAGAGAGG